ACATCTTGGTGACTCGACTGCTTGGGGAAGGCCAGAGCAATGCTTTCGTTTTACTTCTTTGCAAAGCATCATCTCATTGTGAAGGAAAACTTCTCTACCACGTAGGGGAAACTCAAAGTCTCGGTGAACTCATCTCCATGTTCCTATGCACCTTGAAGGCAGAAATCAACACTTGGGAGTCTAACTGACTCCATGCCCATCCATATTGACAAATACCATTGTGATTTCTCTTCAAAATAAATCCAAATCAGACCTGAAGTCTGTCTAGTGAAATACACGTTTTTTTTTCCTAGCAGTGGCCAACAGTAAAACACTTAAGAAAAGGAGGATCCAAGTGAGTATAATGTGACTCTCTCCCAGTCATACCCTTTCAGCTTCTGATAATCACCAATTAATGATTTACTGAAGCAAAAATTTTTAGCTTATCATAGTAGTCATCAGTTGGCTTAAGTCAACTACAGTTTTTCCTCTAATACATTCAGCTACGTGAAATTCTTCATCTGCACTCACAGCAGCAAGACAACGAGAAATCCTCAGACACGAAGGCAAACTGATCTACAGCACAAACGTTAAGAAAACATGGAAAACTTACCAGTCTGATGTTAGGCAATGAAACAAACAGAATAATTGAAATATCCCTGAAGAGCTGTGTAAACAGAGCAAATAATTAACGAAATTTATTACTTATGGCTTGATTGGAACCTGGAGCCAGACCCTGCAAATAAAGCTCCCCTCTATTAGGAGAATAAGAAAGATAACTTTATGAATACCAAAACAGAACAAAAAAGTCAAAACCAAATTAAGATAATTTCTTTAAACAACTCGTCTAGATCAGAACTAGGAAACAACTCAACCTGAGCCGGTTTCTACAGAATCATAGAATAATTTAGGTCAGAAGAAACCTCCAGAGGTCTCTAATCCAACCTTGTCCAGTTGAGTCTTAAATATCCCCAAGGATGGGGTTTCCACTGCCTTTCTGGGTCACTGTTCTACCACTCTGAGTATGAACATATTTCTCTTTATATTCATCTGGGATTTTCTTTAACGCAATTCGAGCCCACGGTCTCTCACCCTTTTGCTATGCACTTCTAAGAAGAGCCTGGCTCCATCTTCTCTGAACCCACTCATTAAGAGAGCTGAAGAACGAAATACAAGACGCCCCCAGCGCCAGTCTGAACAAACCCGGCCCTCACCATCTCTCACCACATGACATGTGGCTCCAACCCTCTTCATCTCAGCAGCCCTACGATGGACTCATTCCAGCCCAACACCGCACACAGTACTCCAGACGTGGTCCCGCAAGTGATGAACAGAGGGATCTAATTGCTCTCCTTGACCTGCTGAAGGCTCTTCCTAATGAGACTCCTTAATTGCTGCAAGGGTGCACTGCTGACTCACAATCAACTTGTTCACATCCAAAATACGAGTAACAGGATTACACTCTAACTGGAGGTATGTTTATAGAGTATTTAGAGAAGTCTCTGTAACGCCAGGGCATCAATGGATAACATGTCTGCTCATTGCTATGTCAACTTATTTTTATCAACTCATAATGCTTTTGCAGACCTCTGGGATCTCATACTTCAGGAAAAAGGTGGGGGAATTAAAAAAAAAAAAACAACAAACAACCAAAAAACCCAAAACAACCCAAAAAAAGAAGTGGAGGTAGAAATTGTTGTTTTAAGAAGGTGGTAAGAGACAACAACTCAAGTATAAGGACTTTATGAGTGACAAAATAATAGCCAGAACTTACTCTACAAAGTTAAAAGCCATCTGTGCCCATCACTGAAGAGAAGCATCTGAAATAATTTCTTCTCTATTCACAGAACAAAATGGTAGATCTAGTTTGCCACCAGATCCACTTCAAGGGAACCCACATGAGAACGCACTGCAGTTAATTCCAGATTGGCTACAACAAAATGCAACTGAATTGCAATGCTACAAAAATGAGGCTTAATTTTCAAGAAAATTCAGGAACAGAAAGACAAAGACGACTCCCATATTGCAGAAAAAAACCTAGAACAAAGGCTAAATTCCAGGACGCTCCATCAATTCTTTCACTTACTCTAGATCACGCACACTTCTCCTGATATCATCACTGTCTGTTCCTTTTAGCTAATTCATGTCAAACCAAAAAGTTATGAGCCAACTGCAAATTGCTCATTACGATCATTCAGAATAAAGGCAACCAACTGCCGCGAGCGTCCTGGTGACAGCTGAAGTCTTACTCTTTCCTTGTACCTCTTGATGGTCAAAGAAAAGCCAAAACAGACAGAGCCAACCCAAAACCTGACACCATGGAAATAAGTGTCTGATTCCCCAGTTAAGTAATTTATTATTTTCTCTGGAGAAGATGGTATTTACCAGGAAGCTACAGACAAGGAAGATCTGCCAATCTCCAGTTGTTCACAAGGGGTTTGACAGTTTAACCTTCAGAGAGGATACTGATGCAAGATGAAACCAGCAGCTACCTGACAGTGACAAACAGAATTCAGACCAGATTATTCTACATTAGATGGTACAGACATACAATTTTAGTGGCGTTACTTTGATCCTGCATCACATGAACCTACAATCAGGACACAGACGTTCTACTACAACTTTTATTCTTCCCTATTGCTTTAAAAAGGCGATGCTTGAAACAATGACTTTTTTTCTTTTCTTTTTTTAAGATGGTATAGTAAGCAATATTTCTTTTAAAATTGCAGCTGTCCTACAGTTTGAGTCTGTTCTTTTTAAAATGAAACAGCCAGAACAAATGGTGGTGGCAATCTCAACGTAAAGAGGCCATCGATTATTAAAATCTCCTTACTATAAATCGTGGATGTTGCTTGTCAGCTTGGTGTGTGACTGTAGTATGAATAAGTAGGTAAAATTCCACTAAGGCTATAGTTTGCTCAATCATTCTGCTGTGCAAAAATAGAAATAAAAGCTCTCCCTGTCCTTTCACTCCTTAGCACTGAAACATTCATACACACGTTAAGAAAAAAACTGCAATGGTGCAACGGTCGCTGATCCAATTCCTTTCTTTCCTGAGTCTGCCCTGATGCTACTTATGAATTTGCCTACTCAAGAAACGCAATAAACCAGAAAAAAAAGACAGCTTCATTCTGCTTCAGTGATCTATATCTAAGGAAAGCACATAAATTTTCCAATGAAATCCATAAATGAAAGACGAGGCCAAGCCCTACCTATATATCTTCAAAGTTACAGAGACAAAGAGGTGCCAACTCTGTGCCCTCTGAAAGCACAAAATCTCCTCCACACTTACCTAAGCAATTTTCACAAGATTAACAGATGTAAAGACGCGCTAGTTAGCTGACGCCTTGAAGGGGTTTAGGCTGGCTAAAAACCTGCTGAGGAGCCACATTTGAGAAGTTCACATTGTTCTCTGAGAGTTAAGCGTGAGGAAGGGGTGAGAACGAGCCAAGGAATAGCAACTTCCCTTCATTCCCTTCACCTTTAGATGTGGAGGGGAGAAAAGGGAAACCCATCCCTCAGGCTAAGCTGTTTTCCCCTTCTTAAGCTATTCCCACAGAAACTGGGAAGATAAAAATGGAATGTTGTGGAAATGCTATGCAAATTTTTATATAGCTACATACAAAAATTTACATAGGTTTTTAATTTTTATTTTTAATGTAACACAGTCCTGCCCGTCTCTAACACTTTCCATGCTGTTTCCATCGAAACGTTTCCTCTTACCGGCAGCAACATATCATTTTATCAGGATGCCAGGAGATCATTTCCACACAATGCCAGCAGATGTAATTTTCTTAGATGCACACACAGTTCATCATTTAGATACTAGATGACAAGGTGATCGCAGGGTGACTCTGTAATGCAAGTTTGCTGTTTGGTATTTTGAATTCTCAAATGATAAAAAAAAGACTTATCAAATATAAATATCTTTAAGAAAAAAGTAACAAAAGTGCTACATATGATCAAGGAAAACAATTCCATTAGTTTCTGCTACTTAAAGTAGGTTTGCTTTACAAATATTACCACATCCATTATCAGTATGGCTTCCAATTATTCATTAAATTGCTCGTAGCAGTATAGCTTTCTCACATCTTAACAAGGACAGAGTAAAGAGAACACAAAACATTCACACCCCATTTCTCAGGTAAGAGATCCTCCTGCCTTTAAACAAATAAAGAAAAGTTCATATTTAGGAGAATATTTACGCTATGATGGCTATCTAGCAGAGGTCAGATGCCAAGTTCTCCAATAACCTTTCAGTCTAGTCAGGACGTAGGCAGTAGTTACACAGATGTGTAAAAATCCACTCACCCATTTACAACCTTAATACCTTCCTGGAAAACACTGCTTTTGAAAGTGGCAAAGTGGAGAGGGGAGTAGGGTGGGGATAGAAAAGGCGAGAGGAAGAATAAATGGTGAAATTGTTAATGACAGATCAATAGAGTCTAGACCTCTTCTGAGCAGGCACTGCTAGCCATGCCAAATAATGAATAGTGGTTTTGAGAAGTGGACTGTTGTCCATTAGACATTCAGCTCATTTTTCACATGATCCCAGGCTGGGCTTCAATCATGGTCCCAGAGGCAGAAGGCAGTACTTATCCACTAAGCCACGCAGCTTGTGAGAGTAGAGGATGTCTGTGTTGAATATATGAACATCAACCGAACTATGTGAGTGTGTTTTCAATGGACATTCTCAGCACAGCACCCAAAAGTGTATTGAGTCACTGTATGACCAGTGAGGCACGGCTTATTGCAGCTGGAAATCATTTATTCCCATGCTGAAGTGGGGTTTCTAGTGTTCTTTTTACTCTCTGTTGATACTCCCGATCTGGTGTCCATCGACCCTGTGCCACTACCTCAGCTTGCATCCTTTCAGTCTCAGAGAAGGAAAAGCGTACAGACTATTTTTTAACACAATCTCTAAGGGTATCCAAGATTTTAAGTGTAGCCTAAGACTTGTAATTGAGGGCTGTCTAAAATACCTGGAAGCACTTTGAATGCTAAGACAGAGCAGCAAGATTTTTCTAGCCACTGGGGCTGGGAGAGGGAGGTTGGTTGGTTGATTGATTATTTATTGGGAATTAATACTGAGAGAGTATATGCAAAGGCTGAGGGCACCATGCCATCTTCACAGAACAAGACCCTAACAGCTAACTGACGTACAAGAAACTGCAAAGTTATACTGTAAGAACACATATTAAGGACCGAGGAAAGTCTGCTAAGGTGCTACGTCTAAAACTAAGTTACTTCTTGCTTTGACCCTCTCCTTTCTTTGTATCAGTCGTCGTCTAGAGCCTCTGTCTTGATCTCGTTGGCTCCTTGCCGGGCCAATGCCAAGATGGTGTGGTTTACCGCTGCCATTTCCACGGCTAATGAAATGGGGTCCTGATGGTCACTATGGCTAGTGCTGTCATCCTGTGCATGCGGAGAGGAGAAGAGAGAAGCATCGTTACTCCGTAAGTAGAAAACCAGCAGACAAAACTAGTGTGTAAAGTAATGGGCTAGGGGCAGCAAATCGCATGTTCGTTACAGGGGTAGAAAATGAAAGGAATTTATAACATTGATTTAGGACCAATTTCCCTCACTGCGCAGACAAAGGTTAAGCGGGCCAAGGAGTGGCGTACCCAATTTTTGAGAGAGAAATTTGAGGGAGAGGGATAGTCTGAGGAAAATATTAAATTATAAAGACAAAAGCGATACATTACACAAGGTATGTCGGAAAATCAAACTAAGATAGGAATCATTAGGCACTACACAAATTCATGCTACGCTTACAGTCTGAATACACAGCTCTGGCCACCTCATTTAAAGCATGAGAAAAGGTAGAGAGAACGGCAACCCAGGGGAAGAGAGGCACGGGGTGGCTTCCTTGCAAGGAGAGGCTAAACAGACTCGGGTTCTTCAGTTTGGAAAAGAAATGGCTGATGGTTGATACGGTAAACGTTTACTATAAATAATCAGTAAATAGAGCACCATTGTTGGTGGCTTCTTGGGATCTACTAAGCAAAGGCACTCCCTGGAATGGTAACATATTCCAAAGCAGCAACAGGAAGCACTGCTTCACTTTTCACAGTTTAATTGTAGGATTCACTGATTTTTAGACCAGACAAAAGTAAAAAAAGGCTTTAAAAGGGGGAAGGGTTAGACACGTTCAGGGAAAATTAGTCAACTAGGAACTATCAAAAACAAAAGTGGATACAGCTGCTGCTGGCTCAGGAAGCCTCTCAACTACTGACTTCAAGAAGCTGGAAGCTACTATAATAAAATCATTCTATAATTGTCTTGTTATGTACAAATACTTTTCCTTAAATACTACTATTGACCTCACTCAGAAACAGGATATAAACCTTGACCAACCCTTGGTCTGAGCCAGTATCCTGTGAAGACACTGAATTCACACAGCTATAGGGAAAAAGATGCTGAAAACCTCCTACGCTGTTAAGAAAACAGCGCAATGATTTCAGGGGACTGAAACCACCCTAATTCAAACATCCAGGTGCAGATACTGCTAGGTTCTCCAGTCCACTGAACTACAGGCCACACATTTCTTTGTGTTTGTTTTCTAAAGAGAGAAGTCTCTCAGCTGTAAGAGGACCACTAAGTTGACGGCTGTGATGGCTGGCAAGTAAAACTAATACAGAGGAACTGTGCTGCTACAGAACTGCACTGAAACTTTAAACATCAGTGAACAAGGGCTACCTTCGATAGGTGTGTAATAGCCACACAATAACAGACCTAAAAGTCTGACAATTCTAGCATAAATTTTATAGTGATTTGTTTATCAGTCTACATCAGCAATAGGGCTTGCTTTTGAATGACAGGAAGGAGAATCAGCAATATTCAATCTCTGCTCCCATCTGTCAAATAAATTCTTCTGGGACATTGGGCAAAAACACTACGTTTTCCCCTCTTTAAAGTGGGGTACTAATAGTTACCACATCATGATCTTGCAATTTTTAACGATTTATTTTTTTTTTAATGTACAGAAAGGAAATGCTAAACATCCATCAGTCTCCCAAAAGCCTTTCAGTGATGAACTTGTGAAATTTAAAATTCAAAATGCGTATAAAGCATTTTTAAATTAAGATGACAAGTGGCAAATACTGAGGGGGACAGAAAATACTGAGGTTATTTAAAGGAATGCATTTATTTACAACAAATGTAGGGCCAATATTGTGATGTGTACATACTCTAAGGTTCTCCCAGTACTCTTTACCACAGTTAAGACTTCAAAAGTTCTGACTTCTGCAGGTTTAGTCACTTCATTAGTATTTGGACAAACTTTGTGTTTTAAAGTTTACTGGAGTTTAAGTGCCGCTGTGGAAAACGGAATTTATGGTTTTAACAGCTAAGGGATGTTAAAACGGTCATCAGGAGAGCTTGCCATTTAATCTGCTTCACTGCTGATGCCTAATTACACTTCATAGAGGAACCCAGCTCCATTTCCTGAGAAACATAATTTTTAAGAACTCTAAATAAAGATCTTTGAATTTTAATGACCGATTTATTTCTCTTTTCAAAGTGTTTTGGATAACACACAGAAGAAAAACACACTTTGGGAGTCTACATGACACTTCATCTCAGTATTCGGGTTGTGCATCTGACTGACAAGGGATTATCTGTGCTGGGCAGCAGTTTCAAAATATTTTATAACAGTCACAGAGCAGCCTCTCATCATCTAGAGCTAGCACGGTTGGTTCCACCAAATCTGCTGGTGATGACCTATAAAAAGGGCCTTAATGTCCATCGGAAGCAGAGCGGCTGGGAATGCCTCTGCCAGATATCTGTCGTACTGGGCCACAGCCAAGTCTGCTAGGGACTCATTCCAGGACACTCAGTTGCTATTAAACTCCACCAGCAGCCTTTATAGAAGGAGACCTACCTAATTCTCCCAAACGAGTCAATTAAAAGCGATCTGCCCACCCCAGCTGTTGGGTGTAGCACAGAACACAGCTCCTATCAAAACCAGAACCAAGTAAGTGAACCATTCGAGTCCACTGGTGCCAAGCACACACAGCCCTGAGGGGTTTTGGTCAACAACTGACACCTGAAGGAAAATTGGGAAGGGGATGCAATACCTGTCAGGAAGGTGTGTGAAGGAAGGGTCACCAACTTTAGGGTAGGTGAGGGCTCAGAGTGCGGGAAGGGGTATTCTTTTGCTAGAGAATTTAAAAAAGAAGTTGCTGTCAAGGGTTAAAAATAACCAAGAAAAATAGAGAATAGGCAAGAGTTAAAATGTAAAAAGGAAAAAAAAAGACAGATAATATGTAAACAATCCAAATAGTGGCACATCGTTGCAGAACAATACGAAACAGGTACGGGGCCAAATACATGTTGAAAGTTATTTAATGAAATCCTTTCCCCCCACCCTTCACCCTTTGTCTGTCAGTGTCTTAGGGACAGATCCTGAGATGCTCCTGAAAGGTACTCCCACAGACAAAGGGAGGGAGCTCAGCACCTTATAGGAGGGTGCTCGGTACGTCTGGCTGCGCGAGGTTGACAAAAGGGATTATAAAGTGCACTGGGCAGGGTCTCACTGCTGTACCTGCCTGGGTGCCAGAAAAGCAACTCACAGGAGCTGTAGCACAGGCTATAATGGAGCCATTTCTTGCAAAAAGAAATAACAGGTGCAAGAAGAACACACATGCCCAGTTTTGCAGGGATGCATGTTGGTGCCTGATACATAGGAGCAACTGTGAAAGACCTGTACGTCCTTTCTTGAGGGTGGGTAACTAGAAGGGTACCAGGGGTAAGGAGAGCGCAAGTTACGCATGGTGCACTGGGTGAGTTAACACTCTCCTAACATTTTTCATACATTGCGTATGGCGTGAATGGTGTAACTTGCTTGTTTGGAGCAGATCCTCCTGTCTTCTTCTACCTTCTCTGCTTCTCTGCCTCCCTCTGAACATCTTCCCTCCTCCTCCCCATTGCGTACTTGCCAAGTGTCCTGTTGTATGACAATAAATCCATGTGGGTGAATACTGGTTGCTCAACACATTCAAACAGGGGAGCTGTGCTCTTCCACTTTCCCCGTTAAAATTATATAAAAGCAAAACAAAACCAAGAGACATCCGATTCGCGAGAGGTGGAGGGCCTCTTCCTGTGTCGCGGGAGCTCTCCCTTTTGAGGCCACGATGCTTACCTGCTCTGAGTAGTCATTGCCATCAACGTCGTCGCTGTTGGAATGACCTCCTGGACTCTGTACATCTATTCCATGGCTCTCCAGGATTGCTGCTTCTTCGAAAAAAGCAAATGGATCCCTAATTTATCTGATGCATTAGAGTAATTAAAAGTAACTACTGTTTTTTCAAGAAGTTAGAATAACTGGAAGAACAGAGTTAGTTCTTAGCCTCTTCCTCTTCACTCTCCAGTATTTGGGAAGGTAGCGTATGTACAGATACTGGTTTGCCTGAAATCCTTCCCTGCCAACTAACAGACTTGTTTGCGAGTAAGAATCCTTGTTTTCCAGCCAGCCCTATTAGAAATTAGCTTAATTTCTAATGCACTGGAGTGGCAAAGGCATTCCCTGTAGATCTTCCCACATAGTTTGGACTGGCAGGACTTGAGGGGGGCGGGGAGTGTCTGAAAATAGATGGAGAAATTTTTTTAAAGCACTTAAGGGATTTAAAAACACAAATATCTTCATCTTCCAGTAGGATCCACGCATCTAAAGCTCCCTTGGGTCTTTCCAATCTCCCTCCGACCCTTCTCCCCATGCAGAACAGATAGAGCTGTAACTCCACCCACCTTGGACTAACTTTGCTTTGTTCCCCTCCCGCCCTTCAACAGATTTCATTTTTAAAAAAATAAATTTAGGTTAAACTTCAGTAACACAACAAATGCTGTAAAAAGAAATTTTTCTTATTCACAAATAAGGTGAAAAGAAGCAGAGTAAAAGGGCCTAACATTTGACATCTGCAAAAATATTGGTAATAGGGAGGTATGGATCTCTGTTCAAGTATCACGAACACAATTCTGCATAGTATCTAAGTAAGTGCATAAAATTTTGCATGCATTGCAGAAGTTTGTCGAATCCTGGCCACTAATGTATGTTTATTCTCATTAGAATATCTCATGTTTATTCACATTAGAAGGTCTACTTCTTCCAAGTTCAGAGTCGCTTCTAATTTCCTTATGATCAGCTATTCATCACTCAAAGAACCTGCAGGGCTGACTGTGAAGTGACTTTTGTTTTATCCCCATCATCAAGAAAAATTATTACTTTGTTCCAGCCACTTGTCACTGTGCAATCCCTTGGAAAGCAATAAGGAGCACAGGTGTAACTGGAATGAGAAGTTGGCTTGCAGAGCCTTTGGTCTTAGTGGCTGTATCTGAGATGTAAAACAACTCATCTGAACTCTTAGATCCCTGTGGGGTCTCAGGGATGACAGTAAGAAATACATCCCCAGGTTTTGGCTGAAAAAACAAGCACATTTCAGTGGAACACAGACACACGGAAACTTATAACCAGATAAAAGCTCTTCACAACAGCCACTTTTCATTTAAACAGCATGCTAAAGTTGTGAACTTGCAATCATCTCAATTTCCCTTATTTCCAATGCAGATATTTTGAGGATTTATTTTAGATTTTATTTTGGATACCCAAAGGAGCCTGAGCATAGGGAAATACAATTCTCCTTCCACCAGCAAAAGTCCCCCTTTGGTTTTTAAAAACTGATCTTCCAATAAAACTTCATAACTGTACCATTTTTCCTGTATCAATGATGGAATTCTATGAATTAAATTCCTACCCGTATTTTAGAAAAATATCTGGAAAAGCAAGAGACTAATTTTAAAAATTGCTCTATGTGTCTATTGAGAGCATCAGAACCTCTAGTATTTTCATTAATACAATCCTATGTATTTTCCATCTCTCCTGAGCACATGTACGTACTAACCCTCGACAGCAGGCTCTCTGATACATTACCGATATTGGCTCTTCTCTTGATTTCCTTTCTTCTGTTGGCAAACCAATTGTACACTTTAAGGGAGGTAACTCGCTCCAAATCCGATAACTTTTTTCCTATGAAAGTAACGGAAATTAAAAAAAAAATAAAAATACAGCATTGTTGCTCACTGGGTTCCAGAGGTAGGCAAAAGACTCCTATATATGTGATAAACCCCTGAAATACAGACAGCACTGAAAAGTTATTATAACTGAGAATAAAGTGATTTTTATGTGAATCAGAGTACTGTGCCCAGATGCTATGGTAATAAATGCCAAATATCTCTCTAAAAACAAAGTAGTCTTTCTTCTTTTTTAAAAATCTGAAATACAGGAATTTCTTTGCAGCTTCAATCAACTAAATCCAGAGCCGTGGGAGAAGCGAGGGCTGCTTTTCTAGTTCAAGCACAAAACTGAGATTCAAAAAACTCAAATTCAATTCACAGCCCTGCCACAAATCACATACCCTTGGGCTACTTCTCTTACTATGTGCCAGCAGGATACAGTTCAATGACGTGTTTTCTTCAGCAACAAAACGAATGAAGAAATTTTGTGTCATCTCCCCCCAGCCTGCTTTCCTTCCTCTCCAGCACGAGCCACTATCGTGCTCCTGCAACACTAATCACACGCTCTCAATTGTGCTGGGACACTTGCGATCTTCTGGGAGAAGGGGGAGATGTTCAAAACCAGATCACTGGAGTTTTACACTTAAACCAGCAAAAAAAAATTCCAACAACCACCAGCCAGCTACAGGAAGCAACACCTTTTTCTGATCACCAGCATGAAAGAGGGAAGACTGGAGGGATTCAGCGTTGCCAGAGCATGATGGAAACTTCTTCAGTTGGCCTTGACCTTATATAAAATACTCAATGTAGCTGCATCCTCAGTCCTCTGCAGGCTACATGGAGAGGAGACTACCCTGCTTCAGACTGTTTCTCAAAGTTTAGTTATTCAGCATACAAAACATTCGTGTAATTGCAGCGATCTGCCAACTTAAACAAGCAAGGAGAGATAAGACATGTGAAAGAAAAAAAAATCTGGAAATAGATAGCTATGCTGTCTCCTAATGCTTTGCATCAGTATCACTCACAGTATTTTACTGATCTCGAGACATGGTGTTTAAGTAGTTTGTTCCAAGTTGCTAAACCAACCACCAACACAGCCAGGAATAAAATCCGCATCTCTTCGCTGCTCTACCCAATAGGTCATTCTGCTTCCACAACAAAAAGACGGGAGGCAACACACAGACGTTGCAACAAGGGAAATTTTACCTAGGCGTTAGGAAAAAGTATTTTGCCATTAGAGTGCTCAACATTGGAACAAGCGCCTAGAGGTGGGACAACCTCTGGTTTTGGAGATACTCAAAACTGAACAAGGTAAAGCCCTCAGCAACCTAATCTAAGGTGGTCCTGCTTGATCAGATATCTCCAGAGGTCGCTTCCAGTCTAAATTGCTCTACGATACTGTGTTATCCTATGACTGTTCCAACGTTCAGGAGTCATGCTTTAGCTTTCCTTTGCATTCGTTTTTATTCTGGTTATATAAAAATCTAAGTGTATCCAAAATACAAGTTCTGAAAACTATGTAAATGTTTGGTTAGCAAAACTAGGCAAAGGCAGGTATGCCCACTCTTCCAGGCTTGCTTATACTACACTGAATATTCACGATCCTATCCCAAGTATGACTTCTCTGGGAGCAGGGAAAATACAACTTGTTGACTTAAACGCAAAGTCCTCCATTAACAAACAGATTCTAATATGAGATCCCTGTCTAGAAGTTGTAAAGAAAAATGAGAAACAGTAAAGCTGTGCTCCTTACTCCTCCAAGGATCTGCTGTATAATCTCCGGCAAGTCTCAGTCTGTGAACTTCAGATTTTCCATCTGTAAAATGGAACCAGCAAAATCCACTTTCGTGGAGTGTAATAAAATTCTCAAATCGCTACTGAGCACTTACAGAAGTCCTTTGAAATAACTGAATGCAGAGAATGAAAACCTCTCAGACATGTTTATTTTCTTAGCAATGCCATTTGCAAAGCTGTGTAAGTAAAACGTTCAGATGCACAACTTGTACTTCTTATCTCTACTGGTGGAAATTTAAGTTGCCGACATCGGCACTTAGGTTTGAAAATTGCATTGACTGTCTAAGTATGGCAGCTCTGAACAACACAAGTTATAGAACGCTCAAGAAGAAACCTACTGCTAGTTGAGAGCACTACATTTGTTAGTAATAGCCATAAAATGAGATTTGCTGAATTTAGCAAGGAGATGTTGAAATCTAATTGCAGTTGCCTTTGGAAAGGACACCGTGATCAGCTCCTCACCTGGCTTTTGTATAACTGCATTACAGGCGTTGGCAATTTCTTCTCTCTTTGCCTCGTCTGGATATTGATTCTCATTGAAGTAACTGCAAGAGGGGAAAAAAAAAAGGTTTTTTTTTTCAGAAATCAGAGCATGAAGGCTCCAAAGCAGCTTCACTAAACGGTGTCAACTGCTAGTTTATGTATGACTCTTACAGAGACAACACAGACACAGTAAATTTTATGTAAAGGTGTATATGCGTAAGGCAGTATCGGCATGCACTCATATCCACACAGAGTGAATCAAACTTCCCAAATGCCTCAGATAAATTAATATTATCTCAGCATTTGCAGTGTCACCTCCGCATTTGGAATATTATACTGGGAGATACTACAATGCAGGCAATACTACTAATGTCAGAGTTAAGACTGCCAAGTGAAGCATTGTGTCAGAAGACATCATAGGCCATGACTCCATCTTTACTATCATTTACTTTTTTTTTTTCCCTGACATACCCCCACCCCTTAGGCAGCATCCTACAAACGAAGGAGCTGTTCAATATTTATTTTGCTCCCTGGGTTAATATATGCATACATACATACATACTTGCACATATATTATGCACACACACAAATACCGCGTACTTTAGACAGATATGGCACAAAGATTGTGCAGACAAAACTACACAGTAATACACTAAGATTTCTAGTCAGACTAGTTTTTTAAAAATCACAATTTAAAAATTTTAAACCTTTCCCAGAATCACGTATTGAGTATAGTATATTTTAACAGTATTTTTTTTCCGAATAATTGTGACTTTATTGTACTTTATATGCAATAAACATCCTATAAAAGTTAAACTGTTTTCTCTTTTATTTCATTTAAGTGGTTTACAAATTTTAATGAACAGATTTGCATTCTACAGAGCTTATCAGATTTGCATTAAAAACAACAAAAAGTCCTGTTTACTTCAATGGACTCTGATAAGCATGCCATAAGCAGGGACTATCACATTTTTTTCTGTAGATTGCCCGTAATATATAATCCCAAGAATTCTTTGATCGGCAGCAGGCTCAGCTGTTGGACAGCTGCTCTGTAGTTGGAAAGAAAAGTATTTCCTTTAATTGCACATCATTTGGTAGTAGCAGATTTAGGCATATTTCGGTAATTCTTATTTTCCACGGTCATATTTCTCTTTGGGCGGATCGTCCCCAGCACAGTTACTGTCTATGAAAACCTGAATTCTGGTCCGTACAGCAACTGTTTCTGCCCAACCTCCTTTTGAATAAGTGGTATTAATGCTGGTCTCACTATTTCACTTGCAGTCTATTTCAATTCACTATAAATACAAATTTTGAACATTCAGTTTGAATTTGAGGTACTACTTCTCCCTCCCATTGCTCATAGTGTTATTTACAGTTGCAGTTATGCCCACAAATGGAGTCCTGTTTCAAAGTTGCTACTCATTGACCAAGAGCAATCACACATTAGCACAGCTAGTTGCACTGTTAATGTGCTTCCACTTGATTTGCTACCTAAGAGAGCAAATGAAACGACAGAAATAGCTCCATCTTCACTAAACAAAGAGCAGGCCACATCCGTACTACCCATTTGGGCTTTGGAGGCAATCACATTTATACGTAAACATCCACTACTTCTTCCTAAGAGCAACTCAAAGGTCCAGCGAAGTAAGTCCGGAGAGATTGACCATAACTGTGACTCCCACTATGCTTGAACCTACTCTGAAAAAACAGCTGAGGTTTTGCCATTAGATCTGAAGAGAACACCTGGTTACACTTACTTTCTGGGAAGCTTCTAGTACGTAGCATCGTCAACCTGGCACTGTCACAAGCAGGAACACTCCTGGAATTATCAACGAGAGATTTTCTTCCCCCCTCTGCTTTCAACAGTACCTTCAGTTTCTGGGGATGGTATTTTAAAAAATATATTCTTTCTTCTTTCAGGCATATCATCCTTCCTATTATTACATCATTTGAAGAGATCAATGCATCTATCTTAAGGCGCAAATTTCTGTTCAAAGGCGTTGTGTTCTGTACAAAGTTTTTTTTTTAGAATGGAGAGCTTGAGCTTGGAAAACAGACCAGAAAATGCTTTTCTAGTCGTCAGTGATGGAAGCAGCAGATCAGGATCCCAGTCCAACTGCCTCATGACAGTGTCTCAGCTCTCGCACCTATGAAATACAGCACTGCACTCTCTGCTCAGAGCCAAGAACTATTTCTTCTTTTAAGTGTCATGAGATAAAGTAATGTCAAGACATCACAGCTGAAAACTGCTGTACTATTATTTACATGAATATATCGTATGACCTGGAGGCCTAATCAGGAATCCAGGTCATCACTACATATACAAAAATGAGCTCAGCAATTTTGATAGCCATAACAGCTATTTTACGGACTCCCTTCGCTGAACATAATTTTGTTTATAGATACTTGTCAAAAGTCAAGAACAAATACCACGAAAGAAATTCCATAACATTATAAAACCCGGGGGATCTACATGACAAGGTACTAAAACCAGAAGGTGAAACCCTGGTATCATGCAATATTATGGATCTAGATCCTCTGTGGTCACAAAACTGCTAGACAACACCTAACTTTATGGAACAAATGACAAAAGATGTAAAATTAAGAAACGGTGTATAATTGAACTGCCCATTCTTATGTGGATGCAAGAAGCTGAGACACCAATTAATGCAGGAAAGACAACACAAGAGCCACTAGTGATCCTTCTCTTGGCACGTAACTAAGCACTATCCTTTTAACAAGCCACTGACTGCCATACGCTTTTGCTGGCTCCAACAAAAAAAGCTCACATTTTCTAACAATAACAAAACTTAGGTTCAAGTTTACAATTCTCTGGGATAACAGGAAATCTCCCTGTGATGGAGCTAACTTTCAGAACTGGACAATGAATGAGACACCTCTTCTGGCAAACGAGGAAGCTTTCTTTGTGTAGTCCAATCATTTCTGTGATTTAGAAAAAAAACTCGCTGCTGAAACAGTAATTCTTATCTTAACACATTTTACAACTGAATAAGCTATGAACAGTTTTATTTGATTGGATCAAAACCTATTTTTCATAATTCTGAAACATTTTCTTTACATTCTAACACAAAGTTCTTATCTTTTAATGTAAATGTCTGAAAGTTTCTACAAGAAAAGTGATTCTCGTTTGAAAATCTGAAATTCTTTTTGTCTGGAAAGTCTATTTTATGAAAAAAACAACAAAAAGTTCAAAAGTTCTCAGGCACTGAAACAAGGTAAATAAGACTGGTAATATAAGACCTTTTCATGGAGATCACAAAGCTAAGCAGGTACCAGAGGGGAGCTGGAAGGGCACTACCTGAAGAGATAAACTTGGTTTCTGTAGTTGACACAGTAATTTTAGAACTTGCCTCTCCTTCAACCTGCTGGCTTATTCCTTACCCACATTAATGACATGCTTCGTCCTTCCCCCACACATTTAAGTTGCCATAAACTTGTCCAGCCCTCAACTCGTGCTCCCCAAAACCGTATCTTCTCCTCAACGTCTCCTGATAATATTCTTCTCCATCACCATATTGTGCTTTTAACCTTTGACAGTGTGAGCTGGTTTTATCACACTCAGGAGTTTTCAGTCTTAAAAGAAAAGGTCTCATCGCTACAGGTAATCAAAAACATACAACCTCAACCGTTAAGAGCCAATTTTCATCCTCAGTCTCCAAATTCTCCGTATACACACTCTACCAACACATCATATTTCATTCCCATCCTTTATTTCAAGGTCTTAATGGGACTTGTGGGTGATATACCACAACATAAAGCACAACATTTAAAGCCTCCCAACACTTGTGGAAAACAGGTGAGAATAATTAAGTTTTCAAGACACAGAAGCCGTGGAAAAAAATTCAAGACTTCATCATGGACAGTTTAGGTTTGCTCATGTAGAAGTTGTGAACACACTTGTGAATTTTTTGACTACAGTTCTTCTTGCAAGCAGGAAATAAATTAATCTGCTTCCTGTTCTGTTTCTTATCAGCCACGTATAGCCTTGCTAAGGGACAGGGAAAGAACGTGGGATGTCTGAATTTCTCTTCACAGCTACAAACCACAGCCTGTTCACAACCTGAAAAGTTCCTGAAAGCTACAGATGAAAATATGAAGCAATATGAACTTCAAAGGAGTGGGGGGAAAAAAAAAAAAGGAAGCAGGCACAAGTAAATCCTGCAAAGGCACGCTGCTTTCTAGACAAAGGGCAGCTGTCAGCTGAATACCTTCAACGAAGAAACCAAATGATCTCTTTTGTAGAAAATGACAGTGGAGGATTAAAATGAAAAGTGGCCAAATAATTTACATGAGATGAGAATCCATATGATGGTAAAGAATGTAGATATCCTTGAAGCAGTTTCATTTCAATAACACTGAAGCCTAGAAAAATTGCAGATTCAGAGAAACCCTCTTTCTTTCAGGGATAATGTGCTTAGGACAATGACGGAGAGAGAATCCATCTCAGCCTCAGGCTCCGTAATGGAAGTAAACGCATTCTCCCTCACTCTCTACCAAGGTGCCCCTATCTGAATTCCTGCAATAGCTGCCAATCTTTTCTTGCTCGGCTGTACGGCTTCTGTTATCCAGGCTTAGATATCAGATGCATTAAGCAGTGCCTCAGTAGTGTTCCTGATAATCCACAGTGGAAGTTTTTGCTGCTTCGTATCAGTTTTGCAGCTGCCAGGGAAGTGTTTGAAACGACCCAAGCTACGAAGCAGCGGAAGGACGGCCAGGTTCGATGCTTTTTCACAGGGCTGGATTTCAGATACAAACACACAAAAACCTAGAACAGCCCAAAAGATCCTGGGTTGGGGAAAGGCTTAGTTTACAGCACGACATAACAGTTAAAGCTTCAAAGTGTGGAAGTGATTCAAAGTAGAGAGGCTCAAATGTTTTGCAGGGTAACAATTCACCGCAGGTCAGCAGAATTACACATGCTCAAGGTGAAGTAATTCAGGTATGTGTAGACCAGGGCAATCTCACTGAAAAAAGGATAATTCACCTTGCAATTAACAGGAGGTAAGAATACGCAGGTGGAGATTTACTGAAGAACAGCAGA